TCTTTAAGAACAGAATCTAGGGAGTTGGGCAGTTCTGCTGGCAAGTGTGTTATTCATATGTTCTTCTGACTGGTGTGGCCTCCTGTTTTTTTTCTTTTTTAACAAATCTTTAAACAAACATTTAAAGATATGTGCATGTCATTCAGCTTGTGAAATGCTTGCTTTGAAAGCATGAGGACCTGAGTCTGATTTTCATCAGCCATCTTTAAAAAAAAAATATAGGTTTGGTGGCATGTACTTGTAATCCCAGGGACTCATTTTCTTAATTGGGAAGTTCAGCACCAGTGAGAGATCCTATCTCAAAATAAAATGGAGGGTTTGTTAGAAATGACACCTGAGGTTGTCCTCTCACTTCCATGCACATGCACACACATAAACCTTCCCAAACATGTGTACGCATATACATATGAACACACATGAAACATGCATGCACACACATGAAAACTTTGCCTAGCCTAAAGTCTTAAAATTTTGCTTAAATGTTTTCTTCTAAAAGTTTTATTGTTTAACTTTTACATTTAAATAATCTATTACTCATTTTTATTTTATTTGTTTTCTTTTCCCCCTCTTTTAAAAATTCTTCTCTCATGTATTACATCCTGACCGCAGTTTCTCCTCCCTCCATTCCTCCCAGTACCCCTGCTCTGGATCTTCCCTGTCACCCAGACCCACTCCTCCTCTGTTTCCCTTCAAAAAAGAGCAGGCCTCCCAGGGATATCAACTGAACATGATGCAACAAGTTACAATATGACTAGGCATGAACCCTCATAGCAAGGCTGGACTAGGCAATCTAGTCAGAGGAAAAGGGTCCCAAAAGCAAGCAAAAGCTATGACTTGTTTTGAGTTAATTCTTGTGTATGATATAAGTGATGGTCCAAGTTCATCTTTGTGTATACATGTAACGATTATGTAATGATTTTCTATGTTATTACTGATAGTAGGTTAATACTTCATTTAATGAGGATATTGCAAATAATGTGACACTGGTAAGACACTGACTTTCCAAAAAAGGTCCTGATTTGGAGTATTTGTCAGTTTCTCTCATATAAATACTCAAAACGCATTCAGTTACAAACTCCCACTGGAAGCCAAGTCATGGAGGTGGGAAAGGCCACATCATTGGTTTTGAACTGCTTCATCCTGCCTCTAGCAGGATACTGAATCTGTTTAGTTAACATCCTTAGTGTTGTCCCCCTTTTTACTTTTAATGAGCAGAACATGCACGGAAAGAAGCAATCTATCTACTCCTGTTACCAATGAAGGTGGATCTTTTGCAGGGTTTCTAGATCTCCTAAAATATTTAAATAGTTATGGACTCTGCAGCTTTTCTGTGGTTTAGTTTCATCTATCACATTTACTTTCAGGACATTACTTTCAGGATAATGCTCAGCGTTGTTTTCTGGTAGAAACATTTTTCTGGTAGAAAATAAAAATATTTGATAAGAGAAGTAAAACTTGCTCAAACTTTTGTAATTTCACATAGACTGATTCAAAATTTAAATTACAAAGGTGACTCGCCTTCCCTTATTTTTCTTCCTGTTTGTGAATCAAATATGAAATTAAGAAAATGCCAAAGAGCAAAATATTTGTCTCCACAGGCACCCAAATGATATCAAGTGCTGCTTCCTGAAGGAATCAGAGCAATGCATGGGACTGAAGACACAGATTTGTGGCACTGACTCAGAGAAATGAACCTGAGTTTCCCTTTCAGTCCTGGGGAAGATGTGTTTAAGAAATAGTATTAGAATGTACGTGCAGCTATGGGCGTGCATAGCTTTAAATAACTTCCCACTTTGTTACAAAGTGGGAAGAGGTAAGGGCAGGGAAATGAGGAAAACTGTGAATAGTGAAAGGAGTCCTGAGGGGCAGTTTGGTTTGACTTCCTGTCTCTACTTGATAGGACCTTTATTCAATGTCTTTATAACTACTGTTATTTTAAATACCCATTTGTAAAGGAAGACTCAGAGACATCAAAATGCCAACTCCAGTCCTTTGACTTGTAAACACCTGTCCTTTATTTTTATTTTTTATAATTTTTTATTTAAATTTTTTCTTTCCTTTTATATACCAACCTCTGTTACCCCTCCCTCCTCTTCTCCCACTCCCCTCACCTACCCCCACCCCACCCCATCCTCTCTTCATAGAGGGTAAGACCTCCCTTGGATAGTCTACACAAGCTGGCATACCAAGTTGGGGCTGAACCTAACCCCTCCCCCCTGCATCAAGGCTAAGTAAGGCATCACACCATAAGGAATGGGCTCTAAAAAGCCAGTTCCTGTACCTGGGATAAGTCCTAGTCCCATTGCCAGAGGGCCCACAAACACAAGCCACACAACTGTCACCCACATTCAGAGGGTCTAGTTTGGTACCATGCAGGCTCCCCAGCTGTCAGTTCAGAGTCCATGAGTTCCCATTAGCTTGGGTCAGCTATTTCTGTGGTTTTTCCCATCATGATTCTGACCCCCCTTGCCCTTATAATCCTTCCTCCCTCTCTTCAGCTGAGCTCCAGGACATGGTATATACTCACTCATAAGTGAATATTAGACACAAAGCAAAGGAAAACAAGGCTACAATGCACAACCCCCAGAGAAGCTAGGTAAAGAAGACACTAAGAGAGACACACATGGATCACCCCAGGAAGGGGAAAAGGCTAAGATCTCCTGGGTAAACTGGGAGGGGAGAATAGAGGGGGGATAGGAGGGCATGGGAGGTGGAAACATGGGGGAGAAACGGGAAGGGAGAACAGTGAAAAAGATATCTTGACAGAAAGTACCATTAAGGGGATGGGGAGAAATCTGCAGCTAGAGAAAACCCCAGGAACTCACAAGATTGTCCCCAGCTAAGACTCACAGCAATGGTGGAGAGGGTGCTTGAACTAGCCTTCCCCTGTACTCAGATTGGTATCTATCCTAATTGTCATCATAGAACCTACATCCAGTGACTGAGGGAAGCAGATGCAGAGACCTCCAGCCCAACACCTGTCCTTTTAAAGCTTGTGTTCAATGTGTGTTGTAAGTCAACCAGGAAATTCAGACTCTGTCTATTATGACCTCCTGCCAGGCCAATGGTCCACCTTTTCAACCCATTCTGCATTCCCTAGCACCCAGGCTCCTCTATACACTGTGGGGATTATACCAAACTTTGTGCCATAACCCAAGGGTGTCATGCTGCTAGGATTTGTTCATATCATACCCTCATCTTGGAATGATCATGTTGTGTTTTCTTCTGAGAAAAACCTGTTTGTCATTTCATCTCTCCTCTCTTTCCTCCTTAACTTTCTCCCTTTCTCCTTTTATCTTTCTTTCATTTCATTCTTTCTTTCTTTTTATTCACAAAGAGTGGTTTTCCTTATGAATTGCTGTGTTGAAAGTTGGACAGTGTTGAGAAGTGGATAGAAAATAAACATCATTCATTGTGGAAGGTTTGTATATCAATCTAATTCAATTAGAACTACATTCCCCAGAGTTCCTTTCCTGGGATTCCAGAACAGCATACGCAAGATAGCTATTTATTTATTTAAATTAAAATAAGAAATATGTGTGTGTGTATCTGCTTGTCTGTCTGTGTACCATTGTATGTAGTAGGGGAGGCCGGAAGAAGATATTCAATTCTCTGAAACTGGAGTTACAGGTGGTTGTGAGCTGCCTGATGTGGTTGCTAAGAATAGAACTTTGGTCCTCTGCAAGAGCAGCAAGAACTTTTAACTACTGAGCCATCTCTCCAGCCCCCAAAATAGCTATTTAATATGAGATTAGAAGAAAGTGGAGCCAAGGCTGCTGTGCTATGTTGAAAAGATGGAAACATGTCTCAGGTTCTGTGGTGGCTTACTACACAATTATCTATCTGTTGGATCAAACTCTGCCACACCTATAATCACTGGCTGTCTTCTCAAGGACTCATGTTGGTGACTTGATTCTCAGTATATGGGTGTAAGACCTTTAATATCACTGAGCCAAGTGGGTGATGATTATGTTATCAGGAATATTACTCTTGGCGGGGAATTCTCAGAGGACCCTGGGTGGTTCCCACAAGAGATGGGCCTTTTTTAGCTTTTCAGCTTCCTATCATTCTATGTGATTTTTGCCTTCTCACCTGAGCTATGGTCATGAAGCCTTTCCTGTGTGGTGATGTAGTGATGCAGCTATCATGGGAGCTGAGCAGAGGTGGATGTCATGTTGAGCCTCCAAAGTTTCAAGCTAGATAAACCTTTATCATGTATAAAGTACTAGCCTTAGGGAATTTATTATAGCAAGGGAAAATGGATTGGTGTATCCTTTTATTTTGTTCTTTTTGTATGTAAAATGTGAACTGAATGAATCTCATATTTTTATTTTTTTACATTAATTTATTTGTGTGTGTGTGTGTGTGTGTGTGTGTGTGTGTGTGTGTGTGTGTGTGTACATAGGGAGATCAGAGGACTATTTGTTAGAGTCAGTTTTCTCCTTTCACCATGTGGGTTCTTAAGATCGAACTCAGGTTGTCAAGCTTGGTGGTAAGTGCCTTTACCAGCTGAGCCATCTTGCCAGCTTTTTATTTCCATTTTAATTTAATAATATTATGAACATATTCCCAAATCAATACAAATTCTTTAAAATATTAATGTTTGTGTCATATGCCATATTGACCAACATATAATATTTCTGAAATAATTAAATGATATGCCATTTTACTGGTATCTGCTAATATTACCATAAAATGGACTACTTAGCTTTTTAGTAATTTTGAACTTTTAAAATTGTTTTTCAGAAATACTTCACTAATGTACATTTGTTTCAAACCACATGCCTGTGACTGTTTTTTGCCATATTTGCTTCTGTACTATACATTTTCATTAACAAAATGAAATAATATTTCTTCACCAATTTTAGCAACCAAAAGAACTATGTATTTTTATTGTTATTTCCTTGTAGTCAGTATTTGTATACTAATGCTATTGCATTTATTCTGTAATCTATTTGTATCTTTGCTAATTATTTAAAATAACTGGATAAATTAACTTCAGTTTGTTACAGTTTAAATTTTTAATATAACATCTTATGCTTTATAATGTATGTCAATATACAAGTATACAAAATTCTTTTCTATTACAATACTTTCTTGAATTTTGTTTAGAATATCACATCATTAGGGGTGGGATTCAGTAAAAGTTTAGTTCAGCTCTGTTTGTTAATGTCCACAGATCCTAATTCTTATTGGGCCCAAGCCCTTCATTGGTATCCATTATCCTAGTCTCTGGAACATCCTACTTTTTCATTCATCTACTTTTCAACAGAGAGACATTCAAGGAAAGTTAAATTAAAGAGATGACTTATACCTAAGCCACCTTTAAGTTTCCTCTCACCCTACAAGATTGTGAATCCTCATTGTGACAGCTGCCGGTATCTGTCCTAGAGAGCCATGTTCTATCTCCTCACTCTCTCCTAGACCTTGGTTGACACCCAGGGGTCTGAATCAGAAGCCAGCAGAGAGCTCATGCTCTCCTGTGGATGGAGATATAGAACTGGCCCTTTCTGGTTGGTCCACAAAATGGGAGGGCAACCATTTTGCCAGGGGTACAGCCATATGTTTTCGAAACAGCTGCCGGAGGTACTTCCGGAACCGCTCACCCACAAAGACGTAAATGACTGGGTTGACACAGCAGTGAGTGTAGGCAATCACCTCAGTCACCTGCATGGCCAGGTCCAGCTGTTTGCTCTGCTCACATGGATTGGTGAATAGAACATCTTGGAAAGCAGAAACAAATACAGTCAGATTATAGGGGGTCCAGAGGAGGAAGAAGAGAAGCGTGATAGCAAATATCAGGCGCACGGCTTTGGCCTTCTTCTCACTGGGTCGTCTTTGCAGAATACTGATGATCCCTGTGTAGCAGATGATCATGACTAGCAGAGGCAAAATTAGCCCAAGGAGGTTCAGCTTCAGAGCCTGAAACCGCTTCCACTGCTTCAGGCTCTCATAGGGGAAATGAGGACTACAGGTATTGTGATTGGCTTCCCACTGGACTTTGAAAAAGTATAAGCCAGGAATGGAGGCCAAGATGGCTAGGACCCAGGTGATGATGCTAGTGATGATGCCAAAAGTGACAGTCCGGGCCCTCAGGGCAAACACTGCATGAACAATAGCCAGGTACCTGTCAATCGTCAGCAGGATGATAAAGAATATCTCACTGTATAAGCCCAGGTAATAAAACCCAGAGAGGAGCTTACACATGGCATCACCAAAAACCCAGTTGTCTTTCAGCTTGTAGTCAATCCAGAAAGGCAAAGTGAAAAGAAAGACCAGATCAGAGATGGCCAGGTTGAACAGGTAGATGCTGGTCATGCTTCGAAGCCTCCTGTACTGCATGAGCACCAGAACCACCAGAACATTGCCTATCACTCCAATGATGAACACCAGGGAGTACAGGGGTGGTAGGAGTCCAGCCCCTAAGGCTCTTACAGCAGCCTTTTGGCATGGGGTGGAGTCTCCATAGTCAAATTCTGTGGCTGTATAGTAGTCTTCTGTGGTAGCTGAAATCTCCATCAGGAACTGGTCAGGAACAATGGCTTCTGTATTTACTTTTCTATTAAAGAGAGAGGGTTCTGGGAAACAAAGACAAGACAATGGTTACATTTCTTCAACCAATAAACTGCTCATTGAAGCTTAGTAATTACAAAATCCTAGGGATGAAATGGAGGGCAAGGAGCTCTTGCATTTTCTACTCACATGAACCTTATAGTCTAAGAGGGGCACAGAACAAACAAATGAGTGTGCAAATAATTCATTTAACTATTTCAAGAGTGACTGTGTAAGAAGGCCAATCGCTCAAACACATAAGAGGACTTACCTTGCTGTTCTAACCAAGGATTTCTAAGTGACCCCAAGCTGTTGAATTTGGACTTAATGTTCAACATCTACTAAGGAGGCAAGTTGATCTCATTTAGAAGTGATGAATCAGAGGTGCACATTGGCATGGGATACTATAGTGTGGTGCAAGACATTAAAAGTGATGACACAGAGGTCCAGATTGCCTCAAGTTACTGAAATGTGGCACAAGACACAGATTAAGAGCTAAGATAGAAAGACACGAGTGTGTTGTTCAAATCTAGCATTGAAATTATTTGATTCTCCTGCCTCTAATCACAGTGCTGGCTCTGCCACTGGAGTCTCCATGAAAGCTCTGGGTAGGAGGACAGTCATGGCTAAGAACAAAACATTCATAGCTATAGAATATTATTATTTACCTTGTTGTCGAAGAAACTAGAAGATGCTACCTTCAGTTGGTAATGAGACAATGCATGTTCTTTGATGAAAAAATCACTCGGCTATGGGATATTCTGTATGGTAAATGTGTTTCTCTAATTGGTCAATAAATAAAACACTGATTGGCCAGTGGCTAGGCAGGAAGTATAGGTGGGACTAACAGAGAGGAGAAAAGAAAGAACAGGAAGGCAGAAGGAATCACTGCCAGCCGCTGCCAGGACAAGCAGCATGTGAAGATGCTGGTAAGCCACAAGCTGCATGGCAGGGTATAGATTTGTGGAAATGGATTAATTCAAGCTATAAGAACAGTTAGCAAGAGGCCTGCCATGGCCATACGGTTTGTAAACAATATAAGTCTTTGTGTTTACTTGGTTGGGTCTGAGCGGCTGTGGGACTGGTGGGTGACAAAGATTTGTCCTGACTGTGGGTAAGGCAGGAAAACTCTAGCTACAAATGGTGCCCAACGAGTTGGCAAGAGTTTCCACTTAAAACCTGAGAAAAGATTCTAAAACAGAGCTAAAAATAGGTTCCTAATTGTCTCTCTCAAATGAGCAGCAGCTTGCTGGTTTGAGCTACTTGTGGGTTCCTGGCGTGCGTGCGCGCTCGACCTGCAGTATGGCGGGAATGAGGCCTCTGCAAGTGGCACATTAAGCTGCATGGTGGGTTTAGCCTTTGCTAGTACAAAACAAAAAAAGAGGTTTCTGGGCTACACGCTGCTTGGATAAAAGCATAGACCCACGATAGCTCCCAGAGCTGGCGGTAAACGTACCACCACCATGTTGGGAAGCTGA